ATTTAATAGATAATGACTTAGAAATTTATTTTTTAGAGGTCAATTCGAAAACAAGAAATTGTATTATTTTTTACTGAACCGTTTTTATTTACTATCTTAAATATTTTAATAGCGTTAAATAAATTATCTTAATAAATAATATTTTATCACTCTTATAACATGTAAAAGGTTAAAAATTAAGTTTGAACCCACATAAAATCACATATATCCATTACTCGCTCCACCTTGCATTACATTCTTAAACAACCCACTACAACCTGCCCGGCATTCCTCTCTTCCCGCACAACCTTAAACCCACCCTCGCCCCGCATAGCCTTAAGCACGCACCGCTCCGCATGTGCCCCGCCGCATTGCCATCATTTGATAAATTTCCAGCTTTGCATATTTAAAAAAATGATAAAACTTCGATAACCATTGCCATCATTAGATATAGGCTCAGGTAGTCTCTAAGTTTCCAGCTTTGCATACTTGTGAATCATAAATATACATGGTAAAATATTATAAAACTTTGATAACTATAAGATTTTGAATTAGTAAATAAACGAGTAATTCTTATTCAAGTGGTTCAGCATTTTCACCATTACTCAATAAATTGATAATTCGAGTCAGAGGCTACATGAGAAAACTATTGATTCTCCTAAAGTATAAAGAAAAAAAAACATAAGCTAAGAAATATGATGGAAACTTTAAATATTGAATCGTCAATTAAAATCTTAGATTAATTTTTTTTATGATCAGTAAAAATATTAATTTACATTTTATTAGAAATTACATTCATGACGTGTTTAAAATCACAAAACTTGAATAATTGTAATACTTTTTATATGTTACATACACCATTATTTAATATTACTATATCAAACCATTGTGTTGACGATATAAATTTTTTTTTGGTTTTCATAACTTGAACCTAAAAACTCTAAAGTAATTAAAAATATCTTGATGACGTTGCGTTCGAAGATCTTGTAACCCATTAGCTAAATTAAAAAGTCAATTAAATTAAGTTGAATCTTCGGCGCCATCTTTAACTTCCCTAGTGGCCAAATAAACAGATAGTTTGCACCAATGAATTGGTATAAAAAAATTAGTTTAATTATGACTAATCAGACTTTTATATTTCTTATTAAGATAATTATCTTGGTGTATGTACTAAATGGTCCCCTCCTCATAAAGGAGAAACAAAATCTCAGACACAGATAACAAAATTTTCGATTATAAATTATTAAAATTCGAATATATAATTTGACAAATACTATATGCCCTTTTGATGGGCATTATATGTATATACTTCCGTCCACGAAAAATAGATTAATTCAATCAAATTAAAAATTATAAAAGATCACAAATTTTTTATATTCTTGCCAATCAAGCACTAGATAAATTATGCATGAATTATATTGTTGTACGATCAATTGATACACTGCATAAGTTATGAAATAGAATTCTTTTTTCTAAATTTTCTAGCCCAAGTATAGTATTATATATTGTGTGTGTTTTATTAAATGTGTCAATGATTTTTAAGAAAATCTATTCGACCGGCCAAATCAATTTTATGTTTTTTAAAAATAAAAGGGAAAAGGATCTGATATATCCCCTCAACTTTGTTATTTAGAACTGATATACCCCTTGTTATGAAAGTGACTCATATATACCCCTACTTGTAAACAAATGGCTTACATATACCCCTTTTCTCTAACAAAAATGAAAAAATAATAATTTTAATCTAAATTTTTATTATTTTTTTCTAAAAAATATAATCCTATATGAGTAAATTTAATCCTCGTCAAACATATTTTTTTTTTGACTTTTTTTTGTTTCAATGACTAATTTATAATTATTATTTCGAATCAAATTTATTTATGTTTCACTAATATTCTTGTAAAACTTATTGTAGATGACCAAATTTTTTCTTCGAATACAAAATTAAATTACAATACACACAAAAAAATAGTTTAATTTTTTTTAAACTAAGGAATGTAAGAAAAAGAATAAAAAAACTCAAATAATTATAATAAAAGAAGTCAAAAAATAATTTATGTATGAAAAAAATTAAAATATACCTTAAAACTTTGATAGAAGAATCATATATACTCCTAAATATTTTTTTAAAAAAAATTAGAACTAATAAATATAAATTTAAAACTAATTTTTTAACTTCCATTAAATGAAGGGTATATGTGAGCCATTTTGTAACGGCAGGGGTATATGTGAGCCGTTTGTATAACGGTAAGGGCATATATGAGCCACTTTTATAACAAGGGTATATCAGCTCCAAATGACAAAGTTGAAGAGTATTTGAGACCCTTTTCCCAAAATAAAATAAAATTTAAGGTTAGAGAGAGAACATATCAAACAAGAAAAAATATTTCAAAAAGATATTTTTATCAGATTTTTCATTGACCAATTTACACTCATTATAAACCAATTTTTATATGCGCTTGGATCGAATTATATTGAGTTAATAAAAAGATAAATTTATAGTTGACTCAAAATTGAATGAGTCGAATAAATCATATTTTTACGAGTTATTATTACCACTAAAAGTTCTAGTGATTTCCAAATCCATCCTTAATTGACATTTGACCATGAATTTTGAATTATATTTTAAATCTTTGCTTTTATTTAAAAATATAAATTGGAGAAATTTTTCTTTTCACTGAAAAAGTTCAAAAAATTCTGCTTAAAATACATGTTCCACCGAAACTTGAAATTTTAAAAACCTAAAATTTGAAACTGAAATTTCAAATTCAAATATACAGCCAACAAGGTAGCTTAGTGTGTTTTTTCTGATTAAATTTTTTGAAAAATATTTTCTTTTAAAAAAAACACCTTGAAAATAATTTAAAATAAATTTTCTAGTAATAAAATTAAAAAAAACAAGTTGATCACAATGTGTCGTGTACCTATAGTACTACAACCACTCACCAACCCACCCCTCCAAACCTCCTCCACACCCACTCCTTCTCCCTCCCCCACCTCCATCAAGAAGAAAAAAATAGATTTATCTATCATTATTAAATACATTAAATCATTAATCACATCATAAAACTCCGTCACTACATATTATATATCATATTTAAGAAAATAAATTTAAAAATCCCTTATCCAAAAAAAGAAAAAGAAAAATCTTATCTCAAATTGAAGAGAAAATTACATGTATTTTGTCTATGGGGGGTCCTTAGGTTCGTGGGTCGTGTAAGATTAAACGAGGAGAGTGGGGAGCATTGACAGGTACGAGGGTACAATAAAGTCATTAAATTTCTCCACTCATCTCTCATCTGTCACCTGTACGGTAAAGTTTCCCCACTTATCTTACCTCTCTCTCTCACACACACATTTATATCATCTTTTCTACTACTCAATTAATTATTATTATTTTTTTACTAACCAAAATATCTATTGGTGATATTATTTGATTTGATATGATATTTATAAAATAAAAGGATTTAAAATACGAACTGATACAAGTATAAGGATTTATCAGATCTTTTGCTTATCTGGAGTATGAACAATTAATTATGGAGGTCAAACATTTGGGAATCTATACTCTGTAAGTTAGAGGTAAGGATTGTTCATATTGAATATGTCTCACTGATATCTTTTATATGATACTAAATCATAATTAATTAGTACCTAAAGTAGTACTCTCTTCGTCTCATTTTACGTGGCACCATTTGACCCGGCATGGAATTGAAGAAATAAATGAAAGACTTTGAATTGTTTGCTGACTTGTCATCAAAAGTAGACTCACTTTTCGCTCTCCTCATAAATGTATAAAAGTATTATTTAAAATTAAATGAGACCAACAAGTGTAAAAGAGGAATTACACCTTTAAATACTTATCGTATAAGAAAATGTGACATTCTTTTGGAACTGACCAAAAAGAAAAAATGCCACATAAAATGAGACGGAAGGAGTAATTTGCGTCGATTCACATATTTACCACGTTAAATTATATCAAGGTTTGGAAACATCAGGTCTAGATTAGTTTTATTTCTTCTCTTTGTACCTAGTATATATGAATTGTTTTTGATATTTGAACATGTTTAAGTTCAGGTTTCAAAAATGAGCTACTATGTATATATTAAAAGTCATTTATTTATCAATTCTAACACAAAATTCAGTAAAATTTGAGAAAACCAACACAAAAAAAACTTGAAAATACTAACTTTCTAATGTATAACTCAATTTTTACTATTTTTTAAAAATGGAACAAATAACTATTCAATTAAAAAGCTCCAACTCAAACTCGCATGAAGAAAGTAAACAACCCTTCATATTATTCCCTTTTCTCTACCATTTTTAATGTATTTGAGTATCTTTAAATTGAGCGAATTTTCTTGTTTAAAATCATAGTCAGTAACTTTTATGAAAATAAATAATAAAAATAATCACTTTATTCTAATTTACGTAACACACTTTTTTCTTTTAATTGATCCCAAACAAAAACAAAGAAGTGAAAATGATGTAGGGAATGAAATGATATTTATTTTTATTGAATTACTACTATTAGAGGAAAGAAAACGAAAAATTACAGTGTGCTTGGCTATATATGGGAATTCTGTTGGTATTTTTGGCCATAAAAAGAATCTTCGTACAAGACTCACACTAACTCAAAGTCAAGCAAAAAGGAAAAAATATATCTTAAGAAAACGAAAGGAAGTACCCACGTCTCAATTTGTATAACTCATTTTCGTTTTAAGCCTGTTCCTAAAAATATAACATATTTTTATGTTTTGTAATAATTTAGTTTTAAAGTGTTTATTTTACTTTTGATAGAATAATTTATAATCGTACAAATATCTATTATCTAAAATATTTTAAATAACAAGTTTTAATAGTCGATATTTCTTAAATTCTTGTGTCATGTTAAACTAAGTCTAAATTGAGACGGAGAGTGTGTATATATATATATATAAACAAAAGGAAAAAAGACTAGTTAAATTTAATTGGCTGATCTTATGATGTTGTTTCTCTCTCCATATATTATTGGTGTAACTATTCCTAGATAATGTGTAGTACAATTACTCCTTTGTAACCAAAAATACCCTAATTACTACTTTTTCTCTTTCTATTGTAATAACATACCTTTTTTTTCTTTCTTCAGCTCACAACTTCAGATCTCTTCTCCATTTCTTGCAAATTTCAGGTTTCTTTCCCTTAAATCTTTCTTTTATTTTTCTAGGGATAATTAATTAATTAATTATCACACCTTCTTTTCTTCTTCTATATAAATTGTTAACTAGTTCACAAGTTTCTTAATTTTTTTCTTTTTTAAAATAACTCCTTATCCATCTAGAAGAGTTACAAACATTCTGAAAATTTTTAATAAGATAATATTAAAAAAAAAAGAGAGAGAGATTCTTGTCCTGATTATAGTCAATTTTACACTGTGTTTTTTTTTGTTTTTTTGTTGAAGATCTATGCTTAAGTAATTAATGTTTGACTTTAATTTGAATCGGATCGGTGTGAACATTGATATTAATTAGTCTTCATCTATAGGTTGAAGTAAGGAAATGGTGAGACAAAAAATTCAGATCAAGAAGATAGACAATTTGACAGCAAGACAAGTGACATTTTCAAAGAGAAGAAGAGGGCTTTTCAAAAAAGCTCAAGAGCTTTCAACTCTTTGTGATGCTGATATTGGACTCATTGTTTTCTCTGCTACTGGAAAACTTTTTGAGTATTCAAGCTCCAGGTATGTTTTTCCTTTTTTTTTACTCGAGAAATCAATCCAATCGATCGATCGTGGTTACGATACAATTTCAAGGACTAGTAATAATTATTCATAAAATTATAACAAAACAAACGAAATTTGTAGTACATATGATTATGGTCTAGTTTCTTTTTATTGGTTTGTTTCACTAATTAATTAAAAGTTTTTTATTTTTCATTTGGGAGTTATAAAAAGCCCATGACTTGTCTGTCAGAAAAATCTCTTACTTTTCTTGTCTGTCAGATACTTGGAGAGTTCCAAATTTTTTGGGGAAAAAAAAAGCTACAGTAAGATTGATAATGCCATATTTGGTGTGTGTGCTATTACTATAAAAGAGAGAAATAAAGTTTCTCATAAAATGTGAGTATGTTCTAAAGCAATTTGTTTATAAACTATTTAATGCTTCGATTTTATGTAATTTTTACCGTACGAGATCTTTTAGAGCTTTAATTTGTACTTGAATTTTATTTAAAATACTTCTGCATAAATTAACACATATAATCATAGGTTGAATTTTCATGACTACTTAATTTGATAAGATATATATGTCGTTAGAACAGCAAAAGCAGCATAGTTTTGTTTTGATTAATGTATGACATAATCTAAAAAAATTCTCTTAGATTACTCGTGTACCAACGGTGATAAGTTTTTAACTAGTGTCATTGTATGTAGATGATAATTCAAGTGTCAGACAATATTGTGTGTTTGGTACGAAAGATAATATTTTTTTTATGAAAAATATTTTCTTGAAAAATAAGTAATTTTTTAAACTTATTTCTAGTGTTTGTTAAGTAAGTAAAAAAATGTTCTCTCAAAAGCATTTATAACTAATTTAGCAAAATCCTGTAGAGGTGAGGAGTGGGGCCTCGAGGATGTCGGGGGTGGGATGGTCAAGGGATAGGGGTTCGGGGCTTTGGGTGAGAGAGGAGGATATACAATGAAACATATAATGTCATTTATCAAATTATTTTTCATACTTCCATTTAAGAAAATCATTTTCCTCATTTTAAAAAACTTTATTACTGAATATGTATTCCAAAATTTTTGTTCAACTAAACATGGAAAAATACAAAATATTTTCTTCCATACCAAACACTTAATGTCAATTTCAAAAGGATGTTTGGTTTGTTAGGCATCTTGTGTTGATCAGTACTGATTTCCTCTCTTGGATTTGCCTGTCTTACTACAATTTTCTTAGCAGGTGGTTCATGTTTAATCCATTGGGATAGACTAATTTGGGCTGATGACACTTTGTAACGACTTAGCATGTCTGTAAAAGTAGTGAATTTATGTTATGGCTGCCCTCCGACTTTCCACAATCTTTTCTGAGTTGTTCAAATTGATTGAATCTTTATCAATTTAGTTAGAATAAAATTATTGATACATAGTATAGACTAAGTTAACTCATACTTGAAATCTTTACCGAGCTATATACCTATAATCATATAAGCAAAATAAACATATTTCTTAGCTTAATATTCGAAAACAATAGTATTTATTAGCTCAAAGATACTAAAAACATGCTTATTTATGACAATGTGATTCTTAGCGTAATATCGTAAAAACAATAGAATTAGCTCAAAGAATACTTAAAAACATGCTACCTTTAATAAGAAGCTTAAAACATGAAGCTCATTTTTAATTACCTCCTTCATATTTGACTTATTGAACTTTTTCTTCCCTTTCCTCAGTTTTAGTGACTCCTAATTAATAAGTTGAACATCAACAAGATCCATGATGTGCAAACTAATACTAAATAGAAGTAATATAAGAAAGGAGGACATATATCTTAACCTCCGCAACCAGATGAAGAATGATGTGAATTGGTACCTTTGACATATAGTGAGCAAAGAATAGACCTAGCGGCTAGCACTACATAAAAAATATCATTAGTGACAATTAATTAACAACAATAGATTAATTACCATTAGCGACAATTAATATCTAAAACCTTTAGTGATATTGATTCTAACACTTAACTAATGTCTGTACAGATTTTAATACTCTTTATTGATTTCTATATTTATTGTAGCTAAAAATAATTTATATGATAGGATAAGTAGCATCTCAAAGACTCCTTGGGAGTTCAAATTTTTTTGTATAAAAGGATTAATTAAATTAACAATAGATTATATGAAGGAAGTAAATCATATAATCAACAACTGAAGAATTTACTTTACTCTCTCTATATATAGTGGAGTTAAATCTACTTAACAAAGAGAAAGTAAATATTAGAAGAAAATGACTCCCCAAATCTTGAATTTAATTTGTTCCTAGATATCTTGATATTTTGTGAAGGTTTTTTCACATCTTATTCTTTGCCTCCATGGTGTGTCACCAAAATAATTCCACCCATCTCACCATGAAATTATTCATTCTTTTTTTTGAATTTCAAAATCAACGTTGATAAAATTTACAAATTCAATTTTTAATTTGAAAAAAAATGCTCCAAACATGTTTCCCTCTCTAATATGAACTTTTATATATTTGAAATCTATGATCAAATGCGTACGATAAATTCTATTTACAAGCCCCACCCAAAAATCCCTTGAAGTGCGTCCACTAAAGCAGAAAATTCGATTTTGGTGCTGCACAACTGAAAACTAGCTATGAAGTGTCATTTGCTGTCTGGGAATAATTTTCTAGTGTTTTTTACTGTATGTCCAGAGCTATTTATTATCCCTCCAAATATAATAGTGTTCCTTTTCTTCTATTATCCATATTTTGCGTGCCATAAAAAAAAATTCAAAGATAAAGTGGATATATATTCTAACCATTTGATCAAGTAAAGGAAATATTTATTCCAAAAATACATATAACTAATATCGGCTCATAATTCATAACACACATTTTCACCTTAATTCGATGGTGATGGAGCGTTTTACGTTGAACTCTACAACTCCTTAATACTTCTTTGAGCTGCCTCTACCTCTCTTTATTTTCACTATACCTAAAATCTCACACCTCCTCATTAATGAGACATTTATGCATCTCCGATCGTTTTCATATTTCTGAACCAACTCAGTCTTGCTTCTCTCGTCGAGTTACTCCCATCTAGTTCCATGTATCTGTGCTTTTAATCCTATATCTCCTTATATATCCACACTCAATCTCAACATTCTCAATTTTGCTACTTTCAGTTTGACCACCACTTTAAGACTCAAACTTTTGTTTCTTTAGAAATTTATAATTGATCTGTTAAGCTAATGTGCAAAAGATGATTGGAGTATTGTACTAGATAACAAATGAAAAAAAACTTTTAAATATAGATTTGACATGCTTCAAAGGAGCTGAATATTAAGGACAAAAAACAAAACAAATGGTAAATTTTTTAAATATAATTTTTTCAATAGTTGTCTATTTATATTCTCTTTATCCCATGACATTATTCGGCTTACACAACTTGTAAAAGTGAAATATTCTCCAACAGAAGGGGTGTGAGAGTAGAGTTCTAAACTATAGGCTCGTTTCATATGAGAGACAAATATAGATAGTTTCACGAGAAAAATTTAGTACTGTCTTATATCTTGTTTAGTTATATTAATCTTCGAATAAATTATGTCAAGATCAATAAATTAGTATGAAGATAAGTTAATTACTATAAACAGTTAATTAACTACACTAATAAAATTACAAAATTTTGAGGATCAAGAAAACCAAACATGGCCATATTCAATTTTTATGTGATTTTGTAAATTTTGGTTAGGGAAACTAGCAATTATGCTATAAGTTTTTTCACATCGTTGATCAATGAAGGCTGAGTGTTATTTATGTTGAAGCTTGTTTCATTATTTATGTATCGTTTACACAGCATGATGCAACTGATTGAGAAGCACAAGATGCAGTCAGAAAGGGATGGTATGGATAATCCAGAACAACTGCATTCTTCTAACATTCTGGTAAATTATGTATATTGTTAAGTCTCTGAGGTCATCATAAATTTAATGGCAATGATATTATATTATGAACAGTTAATACGTGATCATGAAGTGTATAAATTTTTAATTTTTTTTTGAAAATTGGGGATACGGGGAGGGGATTATAAGGTGGGGAATTGAATCTTCACCAACAAGGTTGAAGTTTATATAGCCATCCAACTAAGCTGCTAAGATATCCCGCTGAAGTGTACAAATTATTTGGCCTAACTTAGATTTTGGGAAGTGTTCTTTTTTCTTCATAAGTTAGGCTAATTTTGTTGGGCTAATACTAGAATGTACTTGTAATGTTTCAAATGTGCTTCCCTGAAAAAAACTACACTTAGTTATTTTTCCTTGAAAGCTTAAAAAGTATCTTCTTTTTTTTTATAGCAAATTTATCAGTAGACAAAGTTTAGTGGCCTTTTGTTAAACATGAACAAAAAAAAAACTATCAATAGGGATATGTACAAATAAGAGGGCTAGACCTTACCTTACTAATCTTAATGAAGTACCTAACTTCTGCTACCTAAAAAGCATGAAGAAAATAATAGCTTTAGAGAGAACTAAATATTTTTTTTTATCTCCACAGAATTTGTATGCTTAAATAATATGTCAACCAAATATATCAACTTTTCGAAATAAGCATTATTTTTTAATTCATAAAAATTTGACCAAACAAACTATGATCATTTCAATTCCCATCTAACTTAGTAAACACAAGCAAATATTTCATTTTCCAGAGCGAGAAGAAAACCCATGCAATGCTTAACAGGGACTTTGTGGAGAAGAATCGGGAGTTAAGGTAATTGTTGGTTTTATTTGAAGCATGATTCATAATTTAATGTGCCTATTATTGTAAAGTCTGTAATTAAAGATGTATCCAATTTTTTGTTGGACAGATTATAGATGCAATTTTAATCTATAAAATACTTTCTTCATCCATCTTTATTTGTTCATTCTATTATTTTGGAATGTCCAACAATACTTGTCCAGTTTATAAAATCGATAAATAGTTTACCAAGTTATGTCTATTTTATCCTTACTATTATATTTAGATGGCTTATATTTAGTAAGGGTGATTTGGTAAAAATATCTATATCATTTATGCTTCTTAAATCACTAAGAGAAATTGATAATAATGAGCAACTATTGTTGGACAAATGACATTATACATATTATTTATGTTCTACAATTAGAGATACCCTTCATTGTTAATTGTTGCATCTCATTATACATATCTTGGTGCTGCAAAAGTTTGCCTAATTGTAGTAATAATTACTTTCAAATTTCAACTTATATGACTTATTATGCTAGGCAACTACATGGAGAAGAGCTGCAAGGACTTGGTTTGGATGAATTAATGAAATTGGAGAAATTAGTCGAGGGAGGAATAAGTCGTGTCCTCAAAATTAAGGTCCTATTTACTTAATTCCCTTCTTCCTATTTTAAAATTGCTTAGTCTTCGTCTCTTATTCTTCAATGTGTATTATTATATATTTTTGTATTTGCTTTTATATCTTTTGCTGTTGTATTTTCTTGGAATCATGCTTCAAAAAATATTTCTTTGAGCTGAGAGTCTATATCGCAAATAGTCTCTCTATCCCTCAAAGATAAAAGTATTGTTCGCATATATTTTACTCTTTTTGTACCTCACTTGTAAAATTACACCAGATATGTTGTTGTTTTCTACTTAATTTCCCTCCTCATTTGCACTTGTGTGATTAATACTCCCTTTCCTTATTAGTTGATCATTATACTAAATGTAATTGTCTCGTATTAGTTGATCACCTTAGTAAATCCAAAAACATCTTTTTTTATATTATTCATGCAATTCATTTTTTTTAAAGTGTTCATAATTGTGTATAAATTTCTCAAATAGTTTTTTAAAGGATTAATTAGTATAATTACCTTCTTATTTATAATTTCTTAAGCGTTGTGCAAAATGAAAAGTAAACAACTAATATGAGATCGAAAGGAGTATATAATTGGTCCTACAACATGCATTGATTCCATTAACTTGCGTTTTCAGGGTGACAAGTTTATGAAAGAGATCAGTTCCCTCAAGAAAAAGGCAAGTCATGCATTAACTGATTGAATGTTGATTTCTCAGTACAACTTTCTTTTACTTAATTAGGAAATACTATTTGATTCTTCAGCAACTTAAGTTGACAGGAATTCCAATGTGGTTTTTGGAAGACAATTATAGGGAAAAATATGTCCAGATTATGTATAATATGGAGAATTAAGTTCTTGAGTACTTTTGGGATATGCATAAGTACCCCATCAAAATTTCAGTGATACCTAAATTTAATAGGTTTCTATTATTCCAAACTCATTTTTAAAAATATTTTCATGCACCTTTTATATTCACTGTGACACCTTCAACCAACTAAATAGATTATGTTTGTACAGCACGAGCATGCCAGGTGAAAAAACCACTTAGTTTAACAATTTTAGTCTGTTCTGTTCTTACCCTTCAAAAATAATGTCATATTTTCTCTTGCCGTTCGAACAAGATAACAAGGGACGTTAAGGTGACGTGGTAGAGGTGATACCCATCACGTGTGTCAAAGGAGATGGCGGTTGATTAATTGCTTCAAGCATTGGATAAGTGATGTTTATGTGTCAATACCCTTCAATTTTTGTCTTAGGGTTTAAAGTGATTTAAAAATAATTTTGATCAACCACTAGAAAAGGATATATATAATAATATTTCATGGCATCTTATAAGTAGCTCTCAATATGCAGGAAGCTAAACTCCAGGAAGAGAATTCACAGTTGAAAAAGCAATCACAAGTAAATTATTCTGCAATTAATTGTATTTTTGGCATAATTTGTTTAATGAATTACTCCCTAAGTCACATTAATTCATGAGCAGGCAAGATTGAATGAAGAAGGGCAAAATGTAATTGAGCAAGGACATTCAGCAGACTCCATCACGAACAATCGCAGCTTAGTCAATGACTCAGATACTAGTCTCAAGTTATGGTACGTATCCAAATCCTAAACTCTGAACCCTAAATCCTAACATTTTTCACGTCTAATTTGTTATTTATACACGTTTATCTTTGCAGCTTGGCTTTTCCTTAGTGAGCTCCATCCATATGAAAATGGGAGATAATATAGTTACTCAAACAAGGGCGAGTAATTTTCTAATATTTATTATGGATCATAATATAGTGAAATGTATAAAATTGATTAGATTGGTTGATCAGGCTCCGTTAAAAAAACATTGGGACCATAGAGTTCATTGAGAATCAAAGGGTCAACAGTCTAATCAGAGAGTCATGTGATATTTAGCTAGGTGCTATGTATTAATCTATTTAAAGAATCAACTTAAATATATGTATTTATTAGCAGTAATTTCTTTGATTATTCAAGAAGCACCAAACTTTAATTAGAATTCATATCGAACCGCTGGAAAATTATTTATATTCATAGTTAGGAGGTATTTCGTTAACCTTAATGCACAGCTATTTTTGAAGTGTAGCCCAGGGGCGGATCAACATGGAATCTGTCGGGTGTTTGAGCACCCATTAACTTCATTACGAAATATATGTATTTTTGTAAAAATCAAAAGATATTTATATAAAATAAACATAGAATACCTAATAAATAATTGATCTGATTGGCCCAATGATTATTTAGTAGATATTTAAGACTCTTTTAAAACTTTTGATTGAACTAGGGTTCGAATCTCATTGTTAACATGCATTTTTTTTATTTGACTCCTCTACTTTGAAAGCATCCACAAACTTAAAGAAAAATTTATTAAAGAAAATCTCTAAATAGTTGGATGTAATATTTTTAAAATTATATTATTTTACATAATTTTTCTAACCATCAGAACCTACTGTATTTTCAAAAGTTATGTATTGTTGTTAGTCAATTTACTTGATGATGCAAAAATTATAGACTAACAACACATAAAATTTAAATTATGAGAATGAAAGATTCATTTTCTATCTATATCCTTTTCATTTTAAACAACTTTGATCTCCTCTTGTAGCTAAGACATGATCAAATTTAAAAAAATAACTTTTTTTATTGGTTCAATCAGTTTCTTAATAAATATAAATTGAAAGATGATTCTTGTTAATTTTTTGAATAGAGTAAAGACGATTTTGGTCACTTAAATAATATAAAAATATAGTATATTAAATTTAAGACATAAGTCGAGAGAAGATTTTAAATTCAAAAATGAGTAAATATATTTTTCTTTTTGAAATTGGTATGAAATTATAAGAAGAAAAAAAAGATAGAAGTTTGAAATTCAGTTAGAGGAAGACGCTGACTATAGACCCGTTCACACCACCCGAAAGCGCGACAGGCTCTCCCACCTTTAACTCTCCCGCCCTCTTTGCTATATTTCCATTTCTCCTTCTTATTTCTATTTCATCATAAAAAAATATACACACGAATTATCAATTATGGATGAAGAATATGATGTCATTGTTCTCGGAACCGGACTCAAAGAATGCATTCTCAGCGGCCTTCTCTCCGTCGACGGCCTCAAAGTATTTTTATTTCATTTTTAATCTAATTAGCAATCATTATACTAATTCTAGTTTCTCTGTAATAGTTAGAGACGGAGCTAGAATTTCAACTTTTTGATTACATTTTGAAGTTGAAACTTGAAATTGTGGTTTTTGGAATTTTAAGTTATGTTTGGACCGGTTACTTGAAACAAATATTTAAATTTTCAAATTTTGATCCAAAATAGGTGTTAATAATTGGATTGTTTGAGCAAAGTTTACTTCTGAGAAGAGCAGAACTATTCATGATAAAGAAAAAGAAAGTGAATCCTTTTTCCCAGAGGATCTCTAGTAACTGGATTTGGTAGACAATTTGTGATGTCTACCAGAGTTTAGATTATCAATCGATCGAACTATTTATAAGTTAATAGTCTGCTTAGGGTTGTCCCAACTTTACATGTATTTTAGTTCAGATCCTTATACATCTTCATGTGGTTTCTAAAATCGATCACTATCTAACCTCTAAATGTCTTCAGGTACTACACATGGATAAAAATGACTATTATGGAGGAGAGTCAAGCTCACTTAATTTAATTCAGGTAACCTATTTAGTATTTACTAATGGCATGGAACTTAATTGCGCAAACAACTTTGAAATGCTCATCACTCTTCAGTCTCGATCCTGAGAGAGGACTGGAAATGAGGCGTAAATGGAAGTGTGGCATAAGTTAGTGCTAGTTTCATTTTGGTACTTGGAGTTAATCTCAGCATGTCATGTGTTTTTGTGTAGCTTTGGAAACGGTTTAGGGGAAATGACCAGCCACCAGAAGAGTTGGGTACGAGCAAGGAATACAACGTTGACATGATTCCAAAGGTGAATTTTGATAGTATTATTATTTATCTTTCCATTACCTAAAATTTTCCAGTTTACTACTCAATTTCTTGACTTTTGATTCTGGTTTCTTCCCCTTTCCTGGAGGAAGATTTAAGCTGGTATCGAATGAAATAAACTTATTCACATAACTGTAGGTTCTGCTCGACAGTAAAAGTCTTATTTCTGTCCATAAAGGAGCATGGGCTCTAAAATTATATCCAGTTCAAAGAAATTTCGGCTTTAAGATAGGAATGAGTTAGGTTACTGCAGAGGTTCCACCAAAGAGACACAACTTATGACATGCTTAGATATCTAAGGAGTATATCCACTCATTCCATCTGATCATACAATTATGAAGGTTGCCTATATTGGAGAAGTTATGATGTGTAGAAAATTATCTAAATAGGCATGTAGAAACATGCACAATAATTTAAAGGAATTGAAACCCAGATGCACTGGTGCTATTAGAGAGTAGGCTCTCCTTTATGTAAGTTCGCAAAATATTTAACTCCCTGTTGATGACAGATTACTTCATCAAAGGGTCAGAAAATATAGAAGTAAAGATATTGGGCTTGAAAGAGTTCTGTTGTTAACATGACAATTTCCAAACTGTATTAGGTTGAGTTGATTATTGACCTTTATAGATCTATATGAAATGCTTTACAAGTATGTTATATTTATTTCTTTTCCTGATGTCCTGTAGTTTGCAATGGCAAATGGAACTCTGGTTCGTGTGCTTATCCACACTGATGTTACCAAGTACTTGAACTTCAAGGCTGTAGATGGTAGTTTTGTGTACAATAAAGGGAAGGTATGTTTGTTAAAGCACTATGACGTGTACCTTCTGATCTGTTTTTTTTTCTGGGTAGAAGATTCTCACTTAAATTTCTTGTGAAACTGATATCATTAGATCTACAAAGTTCCAGCAACTGATGTTGAAGCTCTGAAATCCCCATTGATGGGGCTCTTTGAAAAGCGTCGAGCTCGGAAGTTTTTTCTTTATGTGCAAGATTTTGAAGAGACTGATCCGAAAACTCATGAAGGGATGGATTTGAACAAAATCACTGCAAAAGAATTCATTGCGTAATTTTCTTTCCACGTGTGCTTTTATAGTCTTGCTTGAACATATTGGTGATGGCTGCATCCATAATGAATTATAGTTAGACAGTTTCTTCCACACCTTGGTAACTGTTGTTTATGCAGGAAATATGAACTCGAAGATGATACCATTGACTTTATTGGACATGCCTTGGCACTCTGTACAGATGATAACTATTTGGCCCAACCAGCTATGGATTTCATAAAGAGAGTAAAGGTGAGTTTGACTTTATCAATTTAGTATTGCCAAAAGTATATAATTGTTTAATAAAGATATCATCGCTAACGTAGTTTACTCACATTGACATGACAGTGTAAAATTTTGGTTTGTGATTGCTGATGAGCTAGGTCTAACTTATTCTAGTTACTAAAGCTGATTGAAAGCTTGTATAGGCGTCTGTTATTCCATGACCATGAGGAAGAAAAGAAGAAATTTAGGAAGTTACAAATATTCCATGTTATATATATAGGTAGTGTAGGGCTTCCTACGAATTTTATTCATGTGATCAACAGAAATTCCGCATGCTTTAAGTATTTATATGGCATTGTCTTTTATGTCCACCACCAACTCTCTTCGCTTATTAGACTCTGGGTTAGCTATTAATTGTATACCTCCTGTGGCTGTATATGTAATGTCATATTACTAGATGAAGTAAATCTTCTACATTTTCAGATAGCTAGAAGGAATCAATATGGTCTTGCCTACTGATACCGTAAATCAGAAAATGCAGCTTTTTAGTTTTATTATTTATTTATGATTAGATTTGATTTCAATGTCAAGACATCAGCCTTATTTATTCTCTTTTGTGTTTCTACTTTCTTGGCATGGACTGAAGACCTTTAAATCTAACGTAATAGCGTTAAGCAAAATAGAGTGTTGATATAATCCTATGATCTAAGATTTGTCCTACAGTATGATTAATTCATGAGTAGTCAACTGATACTTCCACGGTAGGTCTTCAATTAACGAATTATCACAATCAAGATTATAATTGAAATGCCAAATGCATGTGCTGTGTGATGTTAACTCCTCTTCCTTTCATATGAATAGAACTATTTTTCGTAACTCATAAGAAGCCAAATTCTTCGATTACATAAGCTAAGATATGCTTTCTTATTTTTGAGATAAAATAGGTTTGGAACTTATTTGTTACTATCGGAGTTACATGTTTAAAGAATTACTTAATAAGTACTTTGTTCTCTTGTTTTTTCAAGCTTTATGCAGAGTCTTTAGCACGCTTTCAAGCAGGATCCCCCTATATTTATCCATTGTACGGACTGGGTGAATTACCACAGGTTTGTTTCACTGGGTATTTTGTGTCCATCGTGTTTGGGTAAAAAAAAATTTCCTATTATTTGATTGGTGTACATGCTGTCAGGCATTTGCACGCCTGAGTGCAGTTTATGGTGGAACTTACATGCTTAACAAGCCACAGTGTAAGGTAATCACCCCAACCATCTCTAGCTCATTTCAATGCTTAACGATCCCTATATAAGGTTAAGTTTTGCAAATGTTTTAGCAACCAGAATGCGTCTCGCTAATCTTTCTAATCTAACATGTAGGCCTCTTTTTGCCTTAAAAGAAATTCTAAATGTAATCTGGATCAGATATCCTCATGTTGTACATTTAAGTATACCATATTAGCTTACAAAGAAAACTGAGACAATAATGCACTGAGCTCTGCTCTACTTAAAATGCTGAAAAATTCCACATGGCTTACATACACATTGAATTAAATTGAAGTTTATGTGAAGACTCAGTTTCTGTATTGCAGGTAGAGTTTGATGACGGTGGGAAAGTTGTTGGTGTGACTTCTGAAGGAGAAACTGCCAAATGCAAGAAAGTTGTTTGTGATCCCTCATATTTACCTGATAAGGTACTATTGGCAAATTGCGAATAACTAATATGTCCAGGCTTTCTGCATCACTGACTCATGTCTTTGAAATTTGCTTAATCACCTGCATAGCTGAAAAAAAGACCAGATTAACAATTTCTACTGACAAATGATTTAATACCAATACATAATGCAGGTCCAGAAGGTTGGAAAAGTTGCCCGTGCAATTTGTATAATGAGCCATCCCATCCCAAACACCAATGATTCTCATTCAGCCCAGGTCATTCTACCGCAGAAGCAACTCGGTCGCAAATCAGACATGTATGTTTAGGGTTCCAGATAGTGTACTGAATTATCATATCCTATAGTGTGGTTTTAAAGGGATACCATTGACGGTGCAAGCTTTCTGCTCTAAAAATAAGATTATAAAACATACAAATTTGACCTTACTTTTTATATGTCAATGATGAGTAATTGAAGTCCTCTTTTCTCCAAACAATTATTGAGAAGTGACTGTCACTATTTATTTAGTCCTAGACTACATGCTCAGTAAACCTGTTGTGCTGTTGGTAGAAACTTGAAAGATAATTCAGAGTGACTTATTCTACATGTCGGTTACAGGTACCTGTTCTGTTGTTCCTACTCCCACAATGTCGCTCCAAAAGGCAAATATATTGCTTTTGTCTCAACAGAAGCTGAAACCGATGACCCTGAGAGCGAACTGAAGCCTGGCGTAGACATACTTGGGGCGGTCGATGAGATATTTTATGAAACTTATGACAGATTCATACCTTCACATGACTCTGCTGCTGATAATTGTTTCATATCTAAAGTAAGTTCCAATTAGCTGGTAGTGTCTACTCTATTTGTACAACTATTTCATCACAAATATATCACAAAAGAGATATGACTGTGTTATTACTTGTTAATTAGAAAACATTGTATGCTTATGTTCCCAAAATTCTGTAGAAGAATTACTGAAAACAGACAGGGCACTTTGATTTTACTTCTTTGACATGCTGAACCTTGCCCCATATTATGTGAGATTACTGCTACTCAAAGGAACCGTTCTTCATAATCTAGTAATGTCACTAAGGCTGGAAAAGAATATAACAGTAATGGCTTTCAAGCTTAGCATGCCTTCTCTTGCATTCATGGTCTAACATATGCATAGTCCTTACGACATAAATCAAACTTCTAAAGTTCAAAAACTCTATGGTAGACTTCTTTCCTGCCATCCAAATGTGTCTCATACATTGGTCAGCAGTTCATTGTCAAAATTTGTTTTCTTGTTTAATAATCCTGTTTAATCCTTCCTTGTAGAGCTATGATTCAACAACACACTTTGAGTCCACAGTGATGGATGTGCTAGACATGTACAGCAAGATAACGGGAAAGGTAAGATTCCAGTTTGGAATTTAGTTATCTGGTGACTTGTCGTTTGACAATGCGCAGCAGTTTCATAATATATATATATCAACCACTCTGCCAAGCATACTACTGTTTGAATATTGAAGCTACCTAGCACAACGTTGCTGGTGAAAAAAGGGGTTCTAATCTTCTACAGTTTGACAAATATATCTTCTCTCTTTCAACCTCATGTGAATGATTCTGAGTGTAATGACATATATATTTTTGTCTAGGTCATTGATTTATCAGTGGACCTGAGTGCTGCAAGTGCTACTGCTGAAGAATAAGCTTATTGTATCCACTTCATATGTATGCTGCAAAATAAGTCAGTAGAAGCCAATTTTGTATTGAAGAATATTTTCAGTTATCAACTCCCTAGCTAGTTGGTTCCTAAAATGGACCTTATTGGAGGCAAGAACTTGCTTTATGTGTATTTTTCATGTCCCTTATAGTTCTCTAATGATTTAACTTTTGGAAAGGTTTAGGAATAGTTTCTATGAATCCTTTCCATTACTATGTACTGATTTCATATTCCATCTTGTAAGGATTTCATAATTTGTATTTTGTCAAAAGGATGATGATGAAACTAGCTAAAATTCAATTTCAGATAATGTTGCCCTATGCATGCCTGCAAATAACTGAAGCTTTAATTGAAAATTATGTGAAAAAATTCCTGCTAATTAAAAATTTAAAATATATAGAAAAAGGCTATATAAATTGAGATAGAGAAAATAGCATATATTTTTGAAATGAAATAAAAAGTAGTACAATAATCATCAATATATATATATAAATGAGGATCTTCAATCAGCCTATGTAACATGTCTCAATGATGAGAAAAATATATATTTTTATTTTAAAAAGAAGAGCTTTTTAGATTATTTCTGTTTTACACAATAATATTATGTGTGTATATATATATATTGCTATTAATAAATTAGTTAATGAGCATTGCACCTCCTAACTCCTAACCTTTCATATTCATTACCTTCAAAATATTTAATATAAAAATTATAACTCCTAAATATTACACCTATAAAAACCCACTTTGAGATATTCCATGATGGTCATTTTATTTTTATTTTCCTTATTCTTCATTTTTTATACCTTTGATTTGTTAATTTTTTTTTTGTCTTCTTTGATCTGATTTTTGCAGGAGAGGGATGTATAATGAAAAATGTTATATATTTTGCATATTTTTATTTTGTGAGGTAAAATGATTTAATATGTCTAATTATCATTATCACTTTGTTGTGTTGTAATTACATATATATTTGATATTATTAAGTTGAGTTGTTGATGATACAAATCATGTTCTTTTATAGAAAAAATAATTTGTTCATTTTTTTTGCTTCTCTCTGTAATTTTTTGAGATTTTTTTTTTCTTAATCTTGTAGTTTCTACCGATACTGATTGTCTTTATTCACTTTGTAAATTTGAAGAATCGTATATTTTAAATATTTTTGCTTGATTAGTTAATGAATTTTATGTATGTTTGTTGGTATTATTGTATGGATTGTTTATAGCTCTCCGGTTAAACCACTGATGTAACAAGAGTTGATTGGTTCCTTATCAGATTAATTATTTAATTGAAAAAACGCCAATATATCTTATTTCTGATTTCGTCTAACAATATCATCCTCCTCACTAGCTATAAAAATGTTATACAAATATATAATAAATTTAAGTAATAAAAAGGTAATATATCATATCTCAATATAAAGTAAATAAAATAGTAAATATTAAATTCAAATATTATATAGCGAAGAATCAAATAAATCGATTCCTGTTATAGTTTCGTATCTCACAATTACATAACAATGATATGGTAAAAATACATAACTTATATGTTGCATTATTTTTTATATTATTCTTATATAATTATTATTTATAGGCCAAATATTTCACAATTTTGAGAATTTAATCAGCAAAAAATTAAATATTTTTTAATTTTATTTTAAAACATTCGTACGATTACTTTTTTTTTTATAATTTCAAAAAAATTTCTATTCCTTTTGACTAACTTTTTAATTCTGTGTCCCTTTTTAAATTTATTTTTAATTAATTTTTCTCTTAATAGATATCTCTCCTATAATATAAAATAAGAGAAAAGGTATATATTGTTCAAAATAATAGTAATTATTAAAAATAGTGTTTATTATTAGAAGCATATTTGGAAACTTTTAATAATTTGAAATTTCTAAAATGAGGTAAAAAGAAAATATGTCATATAATAAAATAAATCATAAAAATGGTGGAGGATTTTACTTAAACATATTTTTGTTTATTAAAAAAATATATCACATTTTTTTTTACCTTTTTCTCTTATTTTTATATATTTATTTTTAATTTAATTTTATCATAAACTCACACTTCTTCATCTTTCAAAACCTCTATACTTAATAAATACTTATTAGTAATACCTCTAACTTCCAACTTTATACCTTCATAACCCCAAATTACTTAATGTTTAAATTTGTTACATCTTAAAATCACATCAAAAAATATTTCTAACCAAATATATTTATGTTTAGGTTAATTGTCCTCTACTTTAATCTTGTAATGCAAAATCTATCGACAAAGACTTCTTTGTATAATTATTTTTACTTCTAATAAGAATGATACAAAGTAAGATATATAAAAGAGAATAATTGATTTGTTTTTTTGCATGAAATTATAAGAGCAAGATCATTACTAAAAGTAAAACAAAAACAATTCTTGAAAACATTAAAATGTATTTGTAGATACGTTTAGCGGCGGGAGATAATCAAAATTATTATGAAGTTATTTTTAAATTTTAAATAAAATATGAATCATGAAAAATATAATAAAAATTAATTAAGAGAATTCATTTAAACATTTTGCTTAAATTAATAAAAAGCTTAAGACAAGCTAACTTGATCATGTTACGATTTGATGCTAATTGTTACTGTTTTACAAAAATATATATAAATTAGTAAAAATACTAAAGACGAGCAAACTTCATTCTGTTAATTACGATGCTAATTGTTTATATTTTCTTAATAGAATTAAATAAGCAAAGACCAAAAAAAAGGGAGACCAAAAATAGCGTTGAAATAATTTTTTTTAAAAAAACTTAGAATTATAGAAGAAAATTTATCAAGGAAAAAATTAATACAGATAATCATTTCAAATATACTTATTACTTAACCATTCATCCTCCATTATAATGATTCTAAAAATTTACTTAACTCTTTTCCTACACTTTAATTATAAGAAAATATTATTTATCGTTAATAATTATAAATATTCATATTATTTGTGAATAGTTTTTTTATGTTTACTCTATTCAGAAAAAATTCAAGAGTCTAATTATAAGTTTTTAGTAGATATATAAGTTTTTTTTTAATCTTAACATAAAACCTTTTATCATTCATCTATAATTGTTCATTTATTACTTATTTTATTATGCATTTTAACAATAATATATTATTTTTATGTTAATTCTATATCACTAAAAATTATTTTACCGAACTAATATCATGTATCACCCATTTTCTTTCAAAGAATCAATATACAGAGAACTTTATATCTTAATATATAAATATTGAATTACTTTTTTAAGTCTTCAAATAATAGGTAGCTTATCTATTACGAATAATTTTTCATATTTCTAAGTCTGTTTTTGAATTTATTACTATTTTAATTATTTTGATATTTTTTAAAAAATTTAAAAGATTAAAAATCTCACTTTAAATTTTTAACAAAACATCAAAGTTAACCATATTTAGTTTTGAGAACTCATTCAAATGGATAATGAAGTCATAAATTTTTAATTATATACTATAACTAACATAAAATAATAGGTACTATTCAACCAAAAAAAAGTCTAGATATTTGATCGTACAAGTATTTATTTTTTGAAAAAAATTAATTTATGTATTGAATTGAAATTACAAAGCTAAATGATAAAATTTATTAACTAATCTATTTGAATTTAAAAATTAAATAAAAATGATAACTTTAAGACACCGCGCATAGCGCGGTTAAGTTTACTAGTTTAAAATATATAAAAATCTTATAAAAGAATTAATTAATTAGAGATTTAAGATGATAAATGAAAAAACAAATTTGATTAATAGAGAAAATATTAATCAAAAAATATTTGCAGCACCTTTACAAATGCCGAAGCGCGTCGTTTCAATTGGGATACAAATTGTTGATATGTTTAAATAGGCCTCAAGTAGTGTAAAATTCTCAGGCGATCCATCGTCGACTATGACGAAGACGAGAAGCGACAGTCGAAACCCTGGCAAGAATAACGATCTCTCTGTTTTCGATTTTAGCCCTGAAGATGAACGCATTGAGAAACGCTCTAAAAAGTTATTGCAAACATTCAAAATTCAAAAACCTAACAACAAATTCCATTCTCCTATCGATAAGTATTGCTTTCTCCGTTGCTGTACGTTTCTGCAAAACCCTAATTTACTTTACAAACTCTTTTTCTTGTCTTTTTAACAATTATTCCAAGAAATTGAGTCCCATATGGATATAGCTTCATTATCTTATATAGTTGATGCTTTTAGTTTATCATCGTTTTCGTCAAATTGCATATTCTGAGTTGGAGTTAAGAGAAGGGGGAAAGTAGAAAGAACACCAGGAGATTGAAAAGAAGAGGAGTAACAGTGATGTAACAGAAGAGTGAAGGTGATGAACGAGGACAGAACATGTAATCAGGTTCAGGATGCCATGCACTACTACATGGGGTGGGGGTTCATAGACACATCGACCAAAAGTATTGAGAACAAGAATAAGCTAATATATATGTAGGGATCAAGACACCTAATTTTATGATTTAACTTATTCTTGCAGTTTGACCAATTTTTTTTTTAATTACAATAACAGAGTTTCTGGATTCATGTTAATTGAAAAAATCTCCCTTCCTTGCTGTATGTTCTGCAAAACCCTAATTTACTTCGCAATTGCTTTTCTTGCTCTCTTCTTGCTTTCTTGGTTTGGATTGTTTTCTAACTACTATTCCAAGAAACTGGAATTTGAGTGGCTTTGTTTGAACTGTCTATCACATGAATATTGATATAGCTCCCTTATCTTCCTCTTTACTGAACACATTATTAGAATGACAGAACTAGAATATATTGGATGCTTTAGTTTATCATGGTCCTCCGCTACCTCAAGAAAGTAAAATTTGCATATTCTGAAGAACAGGGGAAAAGTATAAAAGTTGAAAGAAAATAAGGAGATTCAAAAGAAAAGGAATAACAGTGATGTAACAGAAGAATGAAGGTAATGTACGAGGACATAACATGTAATCAGTTTCAGGATGTCATGCACTAATATATGGGGGTGATAGACACATTGAACAGAAGTTATTGGGGATAAGAATAAGCTAATATATATATAAGGATCAAGAAACATAAGCTTGTGATTTTAGCTTATTCTTGCAGTTTCTTCTGATCTGTGACCGATTGTGCTCAAAATTTACAACAAAAGAGTTTCTGCTTCGTTTAGTAAGCAATGTTGTTTATCTATTAAACCAGTGAAAATGTCATTTGCAACTTTGGATCAAACTATAGGTGCTAATATATTCTGTGACACCCATTTCTGTTTGCTGATTCCTTTTGATA